TTGCCAGGGTCTGGGGGCGGGGATCGGGGAGGCAGAGGAGGGGGTCTGTCTGCTCGCTCGTGCCTAATTATGGTTTATTTCCTCCCCGAGCGCCTTCTTTGATGTGTGAAGGAAAGGGAACCAAAGTCTCCTCTTTTAACCATAAGGGATGCAGACAGCGTTTTCGGACAGTTTGGTTTGATCTGGGAAGCGTGCTTTTTGCCTGCAAAGCGGAATGGGAAAACTCACTGCAGCAAATAGCAACCGAGGGACTTGAGCCGCAAACTTGTTTTTTATGTTTTCTTCTCCTTTTAAAAATCCAGTCCACAAAAGCGTGAGTTCTCTTCAAAGTTGCAAGTGAATGTAGCGGGATTTTAAATTACCAAAGCTGTCTTTCAACACGTTGGTATTCCCTGCCTGGAGCAAACGTGATTCAGACGTTGTTTGACTATTTGGCCATTTAAAAAAATCCAAACAAAATCAAGAGCTACTAAGAAGAAACATTTGGAAGTCGTCCAAGTTGGGTGACAAATAAATAGATTACATATTTGTCATAAATCTCTATGCTATGCACGACTGGAACCATCAAAGTAATTTTAGCAGTTCGCCAACAAAATCAAATGTTACTCTTCAAAGGAAAAATCAAGAAGACTTTTTCCCTGGGAGAACACGGGCATATAAAAAAATTTTTTTTGAGAGGGGAAGCGTATAAATATAGTATAGTTTTGCAGTGTGTACTCTTAATGTTTACACAAACATCTACTTTTGATTACTTATATGGTATTTTAAGTTAGTAGCAAAAATGGTTTTGTCATAACACTAATTAAGAAGCAGCACCATTTCTTTCTTTTTTTAAAATATACTTTTGATTTTTTTACAGAGAGGAAGGGAGAGGGATAGAGAGAAACATCAATGAGAGAAACATCGATCAGCTGCCTCCTGCACACCCCCAACTGGGGATGTGCCGGCAACCAAGGTACATGCCCTTGACTGGAATCGAACCTGGGACCTTTGAGTCTGCAGGCCGATGCTCTATCCACTGAGCCAAACCGGCCAGGGCCAGCACCATTTCTTAATTAGGTCGTTGAGAGCCTGAGCTCGTCTTCCTACCTAATTCAAATCCAGGCTCCAACACTTACCGGCTGTGTGAGCCAAGACAACTTACTGAACCTGTCGGTGGTTCACTTTCTTCATATGTGGAGCAGGAATAATAATTGAGTTAAATGAAATTGGCAATGCATAGTGAGTGCTCTATAAATGTTGAAGTTGTTTTCATCATTATTCCCCTTATCCCCACCCCCAGCCAAATGAAGAATCTTTAGGAAGAAACTTGAAATGTAACCTCTCCTACTTTACTTCAGTTATAGGAGAATGGCTCTCGCTTTGAAGAGAAAAGAAATGCCCTTCCGAAATGCATCTCAATTAATATTAGGATGCATTCGTAGCACGCTTTGCTAACTGGTAAACAGAGTAAAATCTCATATTGCCCTGGCCAGGACACAAGCTTTGGATCGTTCTGGTTGCTAGCAATTATTTCCTTCTCCTCTTGATGACTCTTTCTGAATCACAAGCCTTTACTTGGGAATGCAGACCAAGAGCAAGCCGGCACCAAAAAGGAAGCATTGCTTTCAGGAGCAGCCTAATGCCTGAGAGGTTCACTTTTCTTTGTAATCCCTCAGAAGCTGGACTAAACAACATGGCAGTGTCCGTGCATATACTGGGGTTTATCTTAAGACAGACCAACCTGCTTCCTTCATACATGAAAGACCCACAAAGTATTGATACCAAAGTACAAGAAGTTAAGGGCACTTCGGACAGTGATGACTGAATGGTTAGCCCAGGAGTTGTACATTACAATAGCATTGTTTATCCAGTTTACATTTAGAAGCTAGCCCGCACAGAAATCTGGATTCCCTTCTAAAGCCAGATGGCCCCACATGCTTCCTGGTCTATCTTTAGGTTTTACACACACACACACACACACACACACACACACACACACACTCAACAAAGAAACATGAGGAGTTAATTGTAAAAACAGGAAGCTTTAGACCAGACTGAGGTCTGGAGCAATTTATTTGAAAACCTACCAATTCACAATTCTCTAGTTTAACAGCACCTTAGAAATACTTTGTAATACCTCAAGAGTACAATCAGGAAACTTCTCCGTCTGGCAAAGGAGGGATTGTACATTTACACAATTTAATGGTTTTTGAATTGCAACGTTCTGTAACATTAAATTCAAAAGTTTGTTCCAATCCTCCTTTCACTTAGGAAGAGATTTCTCCAAGGTAGTTTTGTTTCATGCTTAGTAATCATTTATTTGTCCTGAATTCATCTTTTCTTAGAATGTTAAGTCCGGCAGGAAAGGACTTTGTAAAAATCATACTCATCTGGTTAGGGTCTACATGATTTGCTCTGCTCTATTCTAATCAGAACTTAAATGGACCATGATCACATTCTGGGGTCACAAAAGAAAGATTACCCCTGCCCGTGTATTATAATTGAGGCTCCCACTGCAAGTTATACATACAAAACATTGCCCATGTACAAAAGCACACATGTGTACCTCCATCTTGAGCTATACTATGGAAAGGGATAGACTTACACTGAACCAGGTGCCTCGAAGATATTTGCAAAACTAATCACATCTATAAGCTAGTATGCAAACAACAAATACATCTGCAGAATGGTATCATCTGTCTAAATATATAAAAGGCTGTATCTGTCCATCCGACCGATAGCTATGATGCGCACTGACCACCAGGGGGCAGACGCTCAATGCAGGAGCTGCCATGACACGTATTGGCCATTTAAAAATAAACAACACCACCTTAACTAATAAAAAAAAAAAAAAAAGAAAAGAAAAAAAAGAAAAATAAACAACACCACAGACCTGATGCTGACAAACCAACACTCGGCTTCCCCCAAGTGGGACACAGGCCCCGCCACCAAACGGGAGCAACACCCCACCAAATCGTAGGTGATGCTGCCAATTCCCCATGGTGCAAAATGAGGCCCACAGCGAGCCCAGCTGGGAACAGTTGCTGTGGACGCCGGGTAATGACATCACGTAGCAACGCCTGGCTTCCTCTCCCTAGCGACTAGCCTCCTTGGAGTTTCTTCAGCCCAGGAACGCAACTTCCTTTATAGCCAGGTGCAAACATTTTAAAGTTTAACCAAATGTTTGTGAAGCATTTTCCCGTGCCTCATCTCAGTTGATCCTCACAGAAGTCCTGGAGTGGGTAGATAGGAGACTCAGTAGAATCCTATTTTCCTTTCATTAGCAAGACATGAATAGCAATATTAAAATATTTCTTCTAATTGATTTCCTTTCAATGTGCATGAATCCATGCACCGGGACCCTAGTTGTTTATAATACCCCCCATATTGAAATAACCCAAATGCCCATTGACTAATAAATTAATAAATAAAATGTTGTGAAGTCATACAATGGAATATTTTTGGCAATAAAAAAGAATGAAGTACTAATACATGCTACACCGTGGAAACATTATGCAAAGTTAAAGAAGCCAGTCACAAAGGACCATCTTGACATGATTCCATTTATATGAAATGTCCACAAGAGACAAATTTATAGAGACAGAAAGTAGATTAGTGGATGTCTAGGCCTGGGGAGATTGGGAGGATATGGGAGTTCACAGCTTAGAGTAAGAGGTTTCTTTTTGAGAAAATGAAAATAGTCTAAAATTGGCTGTGGTGATAAATGCATCATTCTATGAACATACTAGAAAATCATTGAATTGAACACCTTAAATGGCTGAATTGTCAATTACAGTATTTCTTAAAAAATTGTTTAAAAAATTGGTGCCATTGCCTCATAAATATTATTTTTATATGCTACCAAAAGATCCATTCTCAGGCCTTTGCCAGGTAGCTCAGCTGTTTAGAGCATCATCCCAATACACCAAGATTGTGGGTATGATGCCCGAAGAGGGTACATACAAGGATCAACCAATAAATACATAGATAAGTGGAATAAGTCTCTCTCTCTCTCTCATTAATTTTTAAAAGTCCAATCTCTCACAGACTTTTCTTTTATTATTCTTTTCATATGTTTTTTATTGATTTCAGGGAGAGGAAGGGAGAAGAAGGGGAGAGATACAGAAACATCAGTGATGAGAGAGAATTATTGACCAGGTTCCTCCTGCATGCCCACAATGTGGGGCAGGTGCCCTGACCGGGAATTGAACTGTAACCTCCTGGTTCATGGGTAGACACTCAACCACTGAGCCAGGCTCTCATAGACTTTTCAAAGGAGTCTCCAAGTCCTCCTGATCTAATGAATAAGATTTTTAACTCACCAAAAACATAGAATGCATGTGCTTTAATTATCCAACGTAGTTTTAATAGGAATTATAATA